AGGCGAAAAAAAAAAAAACAAAAACAAGCAAAACAAGGAAAGGAAAAGAAGAAAGGAAGGAAAGCCCCAAACTGTTCATCACCTCTTTTACGTACAAGGCCAGCCACGCGAAGGATGACAGGATGAGCGCTGGCTGCCCCCATCCATCCCCGTGTGTCACAAGCACCCCCCACTTGCACGCACGCAGCCAAAAACAAAAAAAAGGCAAAAAAGAGGTAAGGAAGAGGGGGAGGGGGGGGGGGAAACCTGACAGGGAAAGAAAGCAAATGACACATCCCACAGATAATCCAATTGTCACAAAAAAGCAAATAACACATCCCATAGATCAACATATTTTTTCTTTTTTCTTTTTTTCTTTTTTTCTTTTTTTCTTTTTTTCTTTTTAACTGTCCCCACCTCGGCAGATAGGACATACGGTGAGGATGATGTGGATGTTCACAAGGATACCCAAGGAGGGCTGCGCCAGCACAGCATTCAGCAGGACGGCTAGCACGAACCATCCTAACAGTCCTGACAGAGGACAGTATATATCTGTATACTATATACATGTATATATATAACCCCGACTCGTCAGCAGGCTGAACCCTAGATAGATAGATAGATAGATAGATAGATAGATAGATAGAGAAATATATATATACTGTATGAACATCTGCAGAGAGCATAGGCTTCAGCCTCCTGATGAGTGGCGTGGCTGGCACGACTGTCCTGTGGGTCACAATCCCTCGTTTGTTGTCCTCTTCTCCCTCCCTCTCTGCCTACGGTTCAAAGGGCAGCTCTGTGCGACCACATATCTATACTCTATAGGTAGATTACACATATTGATATTGATATTGATATTGATATATATGTCGCAGTCCCTTGTTTCTTGTCCTCTGCCCCCTCTCTGCCTACGGTTCTCTATGACGATATACATTGTATATTCAGCATTACTCTTTATCATTCATAAATTATACATCGTCAAACAAATTATACATCATCAAACAGAACTGCGCGGTAAACCGTCGACAGAGAGGCAGGGATAGTGATAAACACTTTGAGCCATAGACTGTCCTCGGTGCATATGCCAGAACATTCCATGCTCAACCGCATCCACTGAGCTCAGAAGAAACGCGCTCGCTGCCCTACTATGCACGTTTCACCCACGAAGCGCACCTACCTGTAGCACTCATCAGGGGCCCCTGCTCCTCGGATCCGCCGTAGGGCACCCACCTACTTGTCCAGCCACAGAGAGGGAGGGAAGGGAGAAGAGAAGAGGACAGCAAACGAGGGGCTGTGACAGAAACTGTTTCGTCGGGGAGTTTCTTCACCTACCTACTCTCATCAGGAGGAGGCTGAACCCTCAAAAACAGTCTGCAGAATCCCCTACCTAACTCATTAATTACAGCGATGATCGATTATCCACCGTAACTTAACCCGGTTGGGATTAAGCATCAGCGACTGCCCGACAACTGATACCTCTCTGAGGAGGTGGGGACCACCAACCACCACTGCCGTAGGAGGTGGGGGGGACCACCAACCACTGCCGGCAAGGTATACCTGTGACCAAAAACAAAGCAGACTAAAAAATAACTCACCCACACCAGATGGAAAAAAATAGCATTACTCTTTATGATACATATCGTCACACCGTGTATCGGCGCGCAGAGGGCGAAAAAAACAAAAAAAAAAAAGGAAGGAAAGAAGGAAAGCGCCGCCTGTTCATCACCTCTTTTACGTACAAAGGCAAGCCACGTGGATGATAGGTTGAGCGATGACTGCCCCCATCCATCCCCGTGTGTCACAAGGACACCGCACTTGCACGCACGCAACCAAAAAAAGGCAAAAAAAAAAGGTAAAGAACTAAGGAGGAGGAGGAAACCAACCCTCACAGAGGCAAGAGAAAGAGAGAAACGGATCCAGTCAAAAAAAGGACAAGCTGAGGGAAAGAGGAAGAGGGGTTGGTGGTCCCCCCCACCTCCTACGGCAGTGGTTGGTGGTCCCCACCTCCTACGGATACCTATCTGTTACAGAAGCAAAGCAAATGACGCATCCCACAGACAAACCAATTGCCACTGTCACAACAAAGTCCAACATATTTTTTCTTTTTTTTCTTGTTTTGTTTTTCCTTTTCTTCAGCAATTTGTTCTTTTCTTCTTTTTTTCTTTTTTTTTTTTGCTTTTTTTTTTTCGTTTTTTCAATTTTTTGTTTCTTCTTTCTTCAACTCCGTATTTGTTTTGGTAGTGTCGAAAGCTTTATCTGTCCTACAACAATTAGTGTTGCTCCTGACCTACCTGCTTCTTGATTCTATGGGCCAATCAGGAAGAGGAGGAGCCCCCACCCACCCACCCACCCACCCACCCCCCACCCAGGCAGATAGGACAGGCGAGCTGAGGAGGATGACGTGGATGTTCACAAGGATACCCATCAGGAAGAGCTGCGCCAGCAGAGCATCATTATGGGCCTCGCTGCACTACTCTTGAAATGTGCAAAACGAGAGTGAATCTTCCGCTAGAATATGGACAGATACACCGCCATGATTTTTGTCTTTCGTGCATTTCAAGAGTAGTGCAGCGAGGCCCTATATGTACATAAGAAGCCATGCTGAGATGGATATTACAGTATCTAATATTGTACAGGTGGAAGAAGAGATGAGCAGAACAGTTCAGCCAGGTGACGAGTGGGTGACACTCCGACGAAACAGTCCGTCTGTCATATTAAAAATATATATTAAATAATAAATATATATAGGCTACCGGAGTGGCCCGGGTCCATTTGCCCGGCCGTGCCAAAAATAAATAAAAATAAAAAAAATAAAAAATTTTATTTTAGTTTTGGTAAAGAATTTCGATGTGACCCTGAGGCAAGAGTTGTTCAGTTTATTTTTCTGCATAACATAGTTTGTTTTCGGATTTTTTTATTTTATTTTATTCCGGCTGGGACCTTCCCTAGTCCTTGCACGGCCGGGCCGCCCGGGAAAATAGGGTGACCCGGGCGGCCCGGCTGGTAGTCTATATATATTTTATATATATTGTCACATGATATCAGAGCACCAAAGCGAAAAAACAGAAACAAAACAAGGAAAACAAGTTTTCTTCCTGTTTTTCTTTTTTTTTTCCTGTTTTTCTTTCTTTTTTCCTTTGTGTTCGCATTTGCGCTCTGATACTCCTGTGACAATATATATTGTCACAAAAATATCAGAGCGCAAATGCGAAAAAAAAAAGAAAGAAAAAAAGGAAGAAGAACAGAACAAACTGAATTCAGTTTTTATATATATCGTCTATGTATGACATCCATCTCACCCAGTCGCTCGAATGGAGAGAGCCCAAGGGCCTCGCTAGAAACAATATACATATAAATATCTGATATCATGTGACAATATATATATATATGACAATATATAGATATCTAGATATATATAGTCAAATAGAACTGCCTACGGTAAACCGTAGGCAGAGAGGGAGAAGGAGAAGAGGACAACAAACGAGGGGCTGTGACAAACTGTTTCGTCGGAGTTTCACCGACTATATCGTCACAAACATATATATATATAATAATAAATTTGATATACATGTATCGTCAAACAGAACTGCTTGCTGGGTAAACCGTATGCAGAGAGGGAGGACAGGACAACAAACGAGGGGCTGTGAAATATATATAAAAGACGTCCATCACACGCAGTCGCTCGAGTGGGAGAGCCCAACGGCCTCGCTCCACATTGGGAATGCATCTGGACTGGAGAAGAGAGCAGATACATGCATACTGACTGAACATTCTGGAAGTATCGAGTCCATTACCCGCTCCAAATACATTTACAAACATTGTGCTAACGGGAGTGAGGCCCCAGGTCCTGCCTGATCATTCGCCCGTGGGGAGATGCAATGATGATGATGACACCAAAAACTGCATAGCCAAAAATTGTCAGCCAAGAAAAAAAAAAACAAGAGAGGTTTCTCCGTGTTCGATATTCAAAACAAATAAAAATAAAAAAATGGGAAAAATAAATACGTCAATAATTTTAGATAAATAAATAAATAAAGGTTTCTCTCTTCCTAATCATGGAGAGATGGGGGAACGAGAGGGAGAGACCTTTATTTATTTATTTATTTATTTATCTTCAATTATTAACGTTTTTTTTTTTTTTTTTACTCTTTTTTAGTGGTTTAAGGCTCTTGGGAAGGAGAGACAGCGACGACAGAGAAACGCAAAATCAGGGAAAAGAATTGGGGGAAAAACAAAAAACGATGAAAGAGGGGAGGGGAAGGAAAGAGGGGAAAAAAAAAAAAAAAAAAAAAAA